TTAACATAATGCAGAGGAAGTTCATAAAAATTGAGAAAATCGGCAATATTTCAATCGTAAATATCAACCAAAAAAAATTTTTGCCGGCAAAATCCTGAAATACGTGTCAAATGATTTTATGTATAATATCTATAAAAAAAAATTCAGCCGATTCTAAAATGTCAAGGTATGGTTGGTGTACGGTTTGTAAAAGAATGACCCTTATACGCGTTTATACATTGATTTTAAATTTATTTAGAAAATCGAAGCGATTCGCGGGTTGATTATAATGGAATATTTTTAAATTTTCAATTATTTTTAACGTATGTGCAATATTAATATTTGGGTTTTGAAACATTTTACTTGTTTATTGTGCGATTTATTCTATTGAGCAAAACATGCCAAGGGAGCTAAAAAAACTAGCTTTTCATTTTCAATCATAACACTTGTGTTTCGTGTTGGATTTTTTAAATTTTAATTTAATTTAATTTTTGTTTATTTACAATACCCAAAATTACGTCGTAAACTTCTCTTTATTTATATCGTAAGAGCCGAACTGTATTCATCCTTGCATTCCCGTCATATTCACAGAATCAGATTGTTGTTTAAAAGTTAAATTTTTAACGTATTTTAGTAGTATTGTTTAAATATCAGTAAAAATGCAAAGAAATTACACATTCCTTAAACTATTTAAAAAAAACTAATTATGTTTTATATACATTATTAGTGCATAGTTAATAATTATTAAATTTAGAGTATGGACACCACTAGGTATAAAAAAAGTCTTAAGATTTTCGTTCCAAAAAAAATTTCGCTTTAATTTTTCATATTTGTCTCATTTCCATAACCCTAACCACGCATGTCTTTCAAAGTTCATCAGATGCAAAATATTTGCAACAAAAATGAAAGTTACAATTCAATTTTTCGGAATAAACATGCCATTTTTTAAGCACTGACTCCCCATTTTTCATTATCACGATTATAATTTGTTTATATTTTTTAACAAGTTCTGTTTCAACTAAATCAGCTCGCAATTTTATTTCAAACTATTTGTCGTAAGGCCGTAATATTTCAGTAAGTTCTATAAGACCATGGTATATATCGCTAAAAAAAAATCCATAAAAATCGGCTTAAATTTTTTTTTCAACAATTAATTACAAGAAAACGGCTCGGTAGATTTTCACCTAAAACTGATCAGTATCATTCCCAACTAATATCTTTCGAACAGTTTTTGTTTTTTTAAAATCGGTTCGGTAGGATGAGCTTAAATGTGGACGAAAAGTTTACCACTTTTTTTCAAATTACAAAGAAACGGCTTGGCAGATCGTCGCACAAAACTGACAAGCGGTAGTCCTCACCGAAATACATCAAATGGCTTTTAAGTTTCTGAAATCGGTTCAGGCGCTTTTGAGAAAACGTCGATCAAATGTCTAATTTTGACAAATGTCAAAAAAACTACCAATTTTTGCAAACTTTGACGAATTTTTAAAGCTAAACGAGTTGTCGTAGGGCCGTAATATTTTAGTATGACCTAGAAAACTATAGTATCTACCGTCAAAAAAAAATCATAAAAATCGTCGAATTTTTTTTTTTAAAAACGTTATTACAAGAAAACGGCCCGGCCGATCTTTACCAAAAACTAATCAGCACGATTCCCAACCAATATCTATCGAATGGTTTTTGAATTTTCAGAATCGTTTCAGAATTGCGGGCTAAAACGTGGACGAAAAATTTTTCACTTTTCTGCAATTTACAAAGAAACGGCCCGGCCGATCGCCGCACAAAACTCAGAAACGATAGTCCTCATCGAGATACATCGAATGGCTTTTAAATTTTTGAAATCGGTCCAGCCGTTTTGGAGAAAACGTCGATTTACGGCAAAAAATCTGTTCACACACACACACACACACACACACACACACATATACTTTTTCCAAATTTGGTCTCATTCGATTCAGAATGGCTTGAAACGTCGAGAAAACATAAAATTAGCGAATCGGATTTTTTGATGAAAACAAACTTCTCCTTCGGGAAGTTAATAAATATGCTTTTCATGTCTCCGCATTTCAGTTAAGTTAAATCGTTTATTATAATTTATTAAATATTCTAAATTTTATATAAATAATAAAAAATGTAAATAGTATATTATAAATTTAATTTCGGAAACTCGATTTTGCGCCCCCTAAGGCGTACGCCCGCATTTTTTGCATGCATCGCATGCAAGGCAGGACCGGCCCTGCACACACACATCCATTTTTTCTGAGATATGCCAAAATGTTCAAAAACCTTCAAAACGTGAAGAAATGTAAAAATTTTCATGTTAGATTTTCCCTACAGGAAGTTAATAATAATATACATCTTTATGAAAATATTGCAGCATGTTCGGTTCGTGGTCACAATATGTTTGAATTTTTAAACATGCTGGCCTTTTGAGTCTAGAAGAAAGAAAGTTTAGCGTTATTACCGATCTCCTAACGAAACAATGTAGTTTTGAGAAGCCAAGTTTGAGAGCCTATAATCTAAATAAACATCCTAAAATATCAGAGGTCTACGAAAAGTGGTTTAATTTTGCAAATTCATCAAAGTTGCTAATTGGAATAATGGGCACAAATTCAAAAGTTGTTAAATCTCAATTTTTGTTGATTAGGTCAATTATTTGTATCGGGAAGTTTATGCAACTTGCAGTGAGGCCGACACTCGCACCTATTTTGTTATCTAAATATAATGAATATATTTAGACAATTTTCAACAATAATATTGTTTGTGATTGTACTGTTCTATCTCTAAGTCTCTAATTAATAGACGTTCCCAAGGGCTCCTGAAGCTTTACAGATGCTATTTTAATTACTCCTTTTATTCATGAGACTACGATCGATGTCGAATTGATTTTCTTATTTTATATTATCTACTTGTTGACATTCCCTAGTTAATCATTTAACATTTTTGACGTAAAAATTCACGTAAATCGAGCGCAGTTTGTCTCAAATTCAAATAATATCGTACATTGGTGTGCAATAAAGATTGTTCTTATGATAGAGAATTACTTAAAATAATCATGGCAAAACTTCGATCTTTCAAAGCACTTATAATAGAAATGAAAATAAAATATAAAAATTTTTATAACGACGACAACAACTTAAAAGTGGCCGTTAAAAAACAGAAGTCAAAGTGAAACATTGGTGAAATTTGACTGAATAAAAAAATCAAATTTCAGCTAGTCATTGTGAAGTCCGAAGTATGAATAATAGGCACACATCTACTGCATATGTTGCGATATTATCGTCAGTACTAAAATTTTTAAATGAGTACTTTTAAACAGTACTTTCATAGAAGAATTAAACTTTTTTTGTGAGATGTTACGATTATTTTTTAATTAACATTTAATTACATTTACTCTATAATTATTAAGAGATTTTATTGAATTGTAAGTAGAAAAAAGTAGTAAGTTCAAAATAAAATTAGCAAAAAATAGTCATCAATTATGTAATTGTTTTTAGTCTTGAAGATGTTATTAAAATGATACTGAAACTTAACAAATTTATGTATAATTTATATGCAGATTGACTTTTTGATTAAATAAATTTTTATTTTTTTATTTATTTTTAATTATTTTTAATTTTCTTTATTTAATTTATTTGTTCGTATATTTAAGACCAAATTATCTTGTCATATTGGTACAATTTTCTTTTTTTTAGGAGGAATAAATTGACCTATTTGGATGATTCAGAAACCATTTGATTTACATATATTGTCATATAATGAAGTAGCATTGAAGCATTAAAGAAGTTGTTAATTTTTAGAGAAAAATTGAGTTCAGTTATTCGGGAGTTACAAAGGTAAATGTGTGCATAATATTCATTTGTTGAACAAAAATGAATATCAACCATATAATTATTAATCATACAATTCAGTTCAAGTGTTAAATATAATTATATAAGGGTTTATTTATATAATTTACACTTATCACTATTTTTATATCAGATTTAAAAAAATCTACACTAACTGATTTTTATAATGTAATATTCTGTAAAATGTAATTTTGTATTCTATTCTATATACAAATAAGTCTAAGATTGAATAAAAATAATATTAAAATTATTTTTAATATTAAAGCATATATTAAGCATATAGTTTGCAACTTCGGTTCAAAAATAAATTTTAGTAAATAATTATTTACCAGTGACCTCGAGTCATTTATGTGACAATATTTTCAAATATATAGACATAGAAGATTTATAACAAATATCTAAAAACAACAGGTCGATATTCAATTTTCCATTATTGATCAAGTATAAATTTCAAAGATTTGTTTTTCATTTCAGAAGAATCTGAGTTATAAAGTAATATCTTAAAACTCCTTGAATCCCATGATAAGATGATGGACGAATTCCAAGAGTTTGCCAGTAGGCATAATGCCATGCACCACTAGTTTATTTCACTTCCATTATACAGTTGATATACTGATACCACAATGTTGAGAATAGAATCATACTTTGACAAACCGTTTGCTGAAAACAGATCAATACTTTTGAATGACTTGTGAAATGGTTCAAGATTTTTTATTAACGACGTAAGTTTGTCTTGTTTATGCAAATCATTCGTAGAATAGTGTTTTTTCCGCTCATTTTATTTATCTATTATTTTTAATTATTAATGTAGCTTTATAAAGTTTTACATTTTGACTTTTTTATCTTAATATTAGTCTAATTGTAAGCGAATATATATATATATATATATATATATATATATATATCTTGGTTTATTCATAAAAATCTCGATTGAATTTTAACATTATTAAGATTGCAACACTTTTGGGTTGCATGCACGACTTTAAAGATTATTCTATATGGGTTATATATACACCTTGCTTAAACGTGAAATATTTTGAGCACGAGCTACACGAAAAAATAGCGTGGAAGTTTTCGTCGAAATCATTGAAACATTGATTGAATTGATTAGTGTCGAATTTACTCTATTCATACACTCATACTGTAAGCTTACTACAATAAGAAACGACATACCTGATTTTCGCTATTAAGTAATTTAAGTTGATCATTAATAAGGCTGTATTTGGCCGATTCCTCTTTACGTAAAGCACGTTCTTTTTTAAGTTCAGGTGACCAAAAAGTCTTAATGCTGTGCATACTAGATCCAAGTTTTTGATTAGTAAGTTCGAGTTCTTTTTTAAGGTTACCGAGTTCACGTTGTAAATCACTATTCTGATGTTGTAATTCACCAAGGAAAACGCCACTTTCGCGTCCACCTGATAGCAAGCCATGATTAGGCGACTGCCGAGCGGACCGCGAATTTGCCCCGTATAGTTCCTCTTCTAAATAGAGTCCGCGCTCCAACGAACGATCTCTTGCGGTGGATCGCTCCAGCGAGCGGTCTCGGGGCTCGCGAATGGGCAAAAATTCCCTTTCGTGGTCCGACATGAGACCGCCGCCGCGGTCCAGCGATTGGTAACGTACCGTCATCGGATGAGCTAGCACTGGTCTGCTGGCGCTACGAGATCGGTGATGCGATCCGACGAGACCTCGTCCGCGTTCGTCCAACATACCCGGACTTCCCGGATCGTAGTAGGGCGACCCAGCGCCATGGTGATAGACTCCGTATCCGGCGTGTTCCGGTGAGCTGTTGCCGGAGCGCGTCTGACGCAGCGTCTTTCGGCCCAGGGGGCTGCCGCGGCCCCCCGGGTATCCGCGCGACGGCGACCGGTCCACCGTGGGCAACTCCGCACCTGCCAGACGACGAGATGTCACACCGCGGCCCGGCGACCTGCTAGTTGCACGGCTATGGTTCACGGGCCCGTATGGCTCCCTAGACATGAGCGACGCATGCCTCACTCCACTGCACCTTGCACCTTGCACCTAGCACCTGACACCTGACACCTGACACCGGACACCAGTCACCAGTCACCGGACACCAGACACCAGACACACGTCCCTCTCGGATGCGCTCTCGACGTTCTCGGCCTCGACTAACCTCGACTTGCCTCAACTAACCTCACGGCAGCGCACCACGGACCACGGACCACGGAGCACACTGGAGCACACTGATCAATGAACGGACCTCACTACTCTACTACGCAAGTCTCACTATCGCGAGGCGCGCGCATACCTAAAACACGCCCTGCCATGTACACCGCGCACCCTCCTGCGATGCCATCGAGAAATTCAACTTTATTACGAGATCGTGCGAGGGCAGCTCGGCGGCATAGAGGCACAGCACTACTGTCCCATGACCATATGTCTATTCGCATCCCTTCCGATTTCATCCCTTCTCCCGCTCTGCGACCTCGATGGAAAGGTCATCATCCTACATATTTATAGATCCATCGCTTTTACATTAATCTATATACACCTTCCTACTACTGACACGGCGTTCCGGTCATTAGAGCACCGATACGATACGGACGATCCAACACGACGTGAATTACGCCAGATAAGAAATTACATCGGCTCATTCATTCATCCTGGACTGCTCATACTTTTGGATATTTAACATTAGTCTAGCATTTTGGCACATGCACGATATACGTACTACAAAGTAAAGTGTATGTACTACTAGTACTTACACGTTACTTGCACTGTTATGTAACTTGAAATTATTCTGTGTGTAATTTAAGCACTTAAGGACAATGATAGCTATATTGATGGCAAATTATAATATATATATTCTAAAATGGCTTTTAGATTTTTGAAATCGATGCAGTCGTTTTTGAGAAAATTTCGACGAAAATACAACCACATACTTTTTCCAAAATTGGTCTCAACTAGTGGTGAATGGCATTGTGCCTTAAGGCAAATTGCAAGTTTTTCTCATGCCAAAGATTAATATTTTGAAATTTTTGAAAAAAAATATTTTAGGGACAAAATATCGGTGCGCATAAGCGCCGCAGTTTAATAGCTAAATATTGGTACGGAATCCATAGAAATGTAAAAAAAAAAACTAGCTGTAAGTGGAATTCTGTTTTAAGGCAATTAAGGCATCGTGCCTTAAGACAAATTGCTGGAACTTCCCGTATCGTAACGAAATGTTCGAGGAATACTGAATGTTTTCAAATAGATTATTATAAATATTGTAACATTGTCTAATATTTATAAGAATTATCTAAACTGAATTGCAAATTTAAAATTATTTGTTTAAGTTATATTATAACTTTAGCCAGAATAAAAATAAAACCTGAATTAAACTAAAAAAAAAATAATAAATAAAAAAATAAAGAAAAAAAACGAAATTTTTTTTCCAAAATCAATTATTTTGTTAAGACAAGCAGAAAGTTCTTTGAATCATTTAAATCGGACGCTTAGTTTTCTCAAAAACTGTCATTTTTTACATATTTAGCTCCGTATCTTTGAAATGGCTGGGCCTGCCTTTGCCAAAAACTAATGGACACTTCTCCCAATCATTACTAATTGAATGTTTTTTAGGTCATTCAAATCGGATACTCCGTTCTCTCAAAAAGTCGATTTCTATTTTCTGCACTCTTTTCCCTATAATAGAAATCGAATGTTTTTTGAACCATTCAAATCGGTTGAACACACACACACACACATCCATTTTTTCTGAGGTATGCCAAAACGTTCCTACGGGAAGTTAAATGTATTAAAATCTCTGTGAAATATCTGAAAATTTGATCAGCATATCTCTTACAATTATTTTTGACCGCCAAATAACAATTTTTAAAAACTTTCCTTTGTATCTCCGAAACCGCTGGACCCGCCTTCGCAAAAACTTAATAAAGTTTTCATTCCATCAATACTAGTGAATTGTTTTTTGGATCATTCAAATCGCAGGATCCGTTCTCTCTAAAACTGAATTACCATTTATTTTACCACTTTTTGCCCCGTATCTTCAGAACTAACCAGCACATCAATAGAAATCGAATGTTGCAATGTACGAATGAAAAGCGTTAATATTTTGTTAGTCAAATATAATTTGTAACTCAGTGTGCGCGTTTTTTTCCTAAATTAATGTGATCAAAGAAGCCTGCCGTTCGAATACATGACAATCTCTCATGTGTTCATTTATTTCCATATTGGATTCATGAACTAAAAATTATCCAAAACGGTTTTTCATTCGAGTGAAAATTTTCTTTAATTAACAATCGGATAAGTGAAATTTAATTTCGATTTCGTCAAGTAAATCAACCGTTATCGCTTAATTAAATTAGCGATATTTGGATTTACAAGTAAGTGATTTTTTTATGATATATTTCTTTAATGTATGAAATTTTTTGTAAATCATTTTACTAGTTCAATATCAACATGCAGTATATTAAATAGATCGCTATAAATTTTTTAAAAATTGTTTCACATTACAAACATTTTTGAATATTTTATGAAAAATATTTTTTAAATTATATGACTTCCAAATGTCAAACGTTTATACATTTTGTTTTTGGACGATAATTGAAAATGATATAATATTGCAATAAAGTGTCAAACTAATAATACTTTTATAATTTTAATAGAAAATCATTTTTATGTATTCTTTTCAATTCAAACCATTTGAGTATTTGAATTCTCTATATAAGTTCTAGTTTTGTTTTATTTTAAAACTCAGCCATATGTAATAATCTAAATCTTGTAGTAAAGTGTACGTTGCAATAACATATTTGTTAAATAGATAGTAACTAAAATATTCTATAATTTTCTAAAATTCTAGAGTTTTATTATTTTTATTTAAAATTTAGATATAAGCAATAGTTTATATATATATATATATATATATATATATATATATATATATATATATTTATATATAAACTGCTTCTGGATGATTCCGAACCACCCTGATAATGTAGAAATAGCTCTCAAGCGTTTTTAGTTGCTATGAAGGCACATTTTGGAGAAAAATGAATTTTTTTAAGGAAACGATATATATATATATATATATATATATATATATATATTAGGGTCGGTCGATTCAAAAGTCGCTTTGACACATAATTTTCGGATTCTAGGAGTCAAAATAAGATATTTTGCTGAAGAAACGATACCTCTGAAATAAATTCTGATGTCTCATGCATTGACTCAAAGATAGGTGTTGAATTTTGAAAAATTCCGTTTTGTTGACCCATTTAGAGTGCCCCAATCGCGTCCAAATGTATGGCCGACCCCCACTAACTTTGAAAGGTCGATCCACCCATGTCCATGGTTTACCGTCCGGGCCTCCCCTGAGAGATCCACGATACAAAAATTGCAGCAAAGGTTTCTTCAGCAAAGTATCTTATTTTGAACCCGAGGATCCGAAAATCATGTGTGCATTAGCGACTTTTTTGACCCATGCAAATCGACCCGCTTCTCTCTTTCTCTCTCTCTCTCTCCCTACATATAATATATATTATATATATATATTATATATATATATATATTAGGGTGGTCCTTAAAAATGTCATTTTCGAATTTTCTTGCTCCCAGGGGCTCAAATGGTTCCAAATTGATAAAAAACAATTGTCTGAAAGTTTTAGCTCTTAATATTACGTTTAGATAGAGCGCAATTCAATCAAAGTTTGTATTGAAAGAGCATGAAAAAATTTTTGAAAATTAAAAAAAATGTTTTAGGTATAACTTGCGAAAATGAATGAGTTTATTCATTAATTTGTTCGCTAAAATACATCTAAAAAGCATTTTTAAAATTTTGAAAATTTTTTCATGCTATTTCCATACAAAACTTTGATTGAATTGCGCTCTATCTAACGTTAATATTAAGAGCTAAAACTTTCAGAGAATTGTTTTTTATCTATTTGGAACCATTTGAGCCCCTGGAGCAAGGAAATTTGAAAATGACCATTTTAAGGACCACCCTAATATATATATATACATATATATATACATATATATATATATATATATATATTATATATATATATATATATATATATATATATATAGATGTATGATGTATGGATGGATAGATAGATAGATAAACTTAATTTAAATTCATTATTACCATTTACGTCAAATACAATGACGGTTTATATCACAATGTCATAATATGAATATAATAACATTGATTGAATTGCCATCTATAATTACTGAATTGTCCTCAATTCTCTCCAAGAAAGTATCAAGGGACAGTTTTTCGTTATTTTGCATATCGTAAGGCCATTTCGCATCATATCAACTCATCGGAATACAATGTTATGTTATGTTATATGATTCCAA